TTTATTTGGGTGTAACTATGGAATTATTTTTCCTTTCATGCTTTTGGAATTAGGGGACAGATGAGGCAGGCAGAAAGTTATTACCTGAGCACAGTCTCTTTTACTCATTTAATCAATGTGGTTTAGTTACCCAGGTAACTGCAGCTAAATTCTGTTCTCTTTGATTCAGACTGCCAGGTGTTTCTCCCTCATTTTCCAAAAAAAGCCTTTCTAGTATGATTTATTTTAGGCTCTGAGAATTATAGTTTTTAAGCTCTCCTGATAGGGCCTTACATAATTACATGAACATGAACAAAAAACTTCTTCTGGACATGATTCTTATGAATAAAGATAGACACTTTTTGGAGAGTCATAGAAAATAGGCAGTTGGTCTATGAAATTATTATTAGTGGATTTTGTTCAGTTGTAGGTTTTTTTTTTGGAAGAAAATATTTTCCTTAGAGTCCTATTCAATCTGTGTTGTAATGATTTATACTTTTCTTTCTTTTTTAAAAAAAAAATTCTTTTTTTTTTTTTTTTTTTTTACTAAAGCAGTGTTCCAGTTGTAACTTAAAAATATTTTCACTGGCTCAGTTGGTTGGGCACTGAAAGGTTGCTGGTTCGATTCCCTGTCAAGGCACATGCCTTGGTTGTTGGCTCCCATCCCCAGTTGCACAGGGGTTGCACAGTAGACAGCTGATTGATGTTCTGCTCTCACATCAACATTTCTCTTTCTCCCCCTCTCCCTTCCCCTCTCTCTCTAAAAAAAATTCAATGAGTATTTAAAAAAATATATATTCACTGAATCACCTCAAATATGTATTTTGTGAAACAAGGTTCAAAGCATAAATAAGTAAATTGTTGTATACCCAACTCAGTTTCTTAGTTTCTTCCTTCCTTCCTTTTTTTCTTTCACTAGGTTTTGCAGATATTTGTTAATTTAAAAATCATATTTCAGCCCCTGGGAATTTCATATTAATTGCAAATTAATGGACAGGGTCAGCCATGAATGAAAATTTAGTGGTGAAATCAGCATTTATGTAAAGTAAATCTGTAGGTTACAGCTAGGACTCATTTTTTTAAAAAATTCTTTATTGTTTAAAGTATTATATATGAATCCTTTTCCCCCATTGACCTCTCCCAAGTCGTTCCCACCCCCACCCCCACCCCACACATGTCCTCACCCCTCTTACTGACTGTGTCCATGGGTTATGCTTATATGCATCATACAAATCATTTGGTTGATCTCTTCTTCCCCTTCCCCTTCCACCTGAGGTTGGATGGTCTGTTCGATGCTTCTCTGTCTCTGGATCTATTTTAGTTCATCAGTTTATGTTGTTCATTATATTCCACATATGAGTGAGATCATGTGATGTTTATCTTTCTCCAAGTGGCGTATTTTGCTTAGCATAATGCTCTCTAGTGCCATCCATGCTGTTGCAAATGGTAAGAGTTCCTTCTTTTTTTACAGCAGCTTAGTATTCCATTGTGTAGATGTACCACAGTTTTTTAAAAAATATATATTTTATTGGTTTTCTACAGAGGGGAAGGGAGAGGGATAGAGAGTTAGAAACATCGATGAGAAACATCGATCAGCTGCCTCCTGCACACCCCCTACTGGGGTTGTGCCCACAACCAAGGTACATGCCCTTGACTGGAATCGAACCTGGGACCCTGCAGTCCACAGGCCGACACTCTATCCACTGAGCCAAACCGGTTAGGGCTACCACAGTTTTTTAATTTGCTGATGGGCGCTTAGGCTGTTTCCAAATCTTAGCTATTGTAAATTGTGCTGCTATGAACATAGGGGTGCATATATCCTTTCTAATTGGTGTTTCTAGTTTCTTGGGATATATTCCTAGAAGTGGGATCACTGGGTCAAATGGGAGTTCCATTTTTAATTTTTTGAGGAAACTCCATACTGTTCTCCACAGTGGCTGCACCAGTCTGCATTCCTACCAGCAGTGCAAGAGGGTTCCTTTTTCTCTGCATCTTCGCCAGCACTTGTCATTTCTTGATTTGTTGATGATAGCTATTCTGACTGTGGTGTGAGAGGGTACCTCATTGTCGTTTTGATTTGCATCTCTCAGATGATTAGTGACTTTGAGCATGTTTTCATGTCTCTTGGCCTTCTGTATGTCCTGTTTCATAAGGGGTCTATTTAGGTCCTTTGCCCATTTTTTGATTGGTTTATCTTCCTTTTGTTAAATTGTATGAGTTCCCTATAAATTTTGGAAATTAAACCTTTACCGGATATAACTTTGGCACATATGTTCTCCCATGTAGTGGGCTTTCTTGTTTTGTTGATGGTTTCTTTTGCTGTGCAGAAGCTTTTTATTTTGATGTAGTCCCATTTGTTTATTTTCTTCTTACAGCTGGGACTCTTACTCATTTAGTTTATTTTAGGTAGAGAGTTTATTACTAAAACAGGTTCTCTAGGCTTCTTCTTCTATTGGCTTCACTGCTCTTTTACTAAATATAAAAAAAAATATGATTTCTCCAGTTTGGAAGGTTTCCGGATTTTGTGGAGTACTTCCCAGGTAGCTGAGGCATGTCGCCTCCATCCACTTGGGCTCCTGCTTAGGCTCAGACCAGTGGTTCTCAACCTTGGCTGCACATTAAGAATCCCCTTGGGAATCTTTTTAAAAATTCCTGAATTTCTGGGCCCTCACCCCTCCAGAAAATTCTGTTTTTTTTGTTAAGGGGGTGGGGCCCCCAACATTAGTTAACAAAAAAAACAGAATTTCCGGGGGGATGAGGCCCAGAAATTCAGGGATTTTAAAAAAGATTCCCCAGGGTGATTCTAATGTGCAGCCAAGGTTGAGAACCACTGACTTAGCGAGCATTGGCATTATCTCCTATTCTGTTAAATTGCTCATTAGCTGAGAGCATATTATATTAGTTGTGGTAATGAGGTTTCATTGAGTCTAAAAGTGAGAAATGAATTAACTTTGGAATGGTTTTTGAAGTACTTTTTAAAAAGTTGTTTTACTGTCATCCCCTTCTTTCACATAAATTTTATAGAACTTTGTATTAATTTTTCGTTGCTGCTATAAAAAATTTCCTCATATTTTGTGGCTTAAAACAACACAGGCTTATTATCTTGCAGTTTTGTAGGTCAGAAGCCTAACATGGATTTCACTGGGCTAAGATCAGGGTGTTAGCAGGGCTTCATTTCGTTCTAGAGCAGCGGTTCTCAACCTGTGGGTTGCGACCCCTTTGGGGGTCGAATGACCCTTTCACAGGGGTCGCCTAAATACATCCTGCATATCAGATATTTACATTATGATTCATAACAGTAACAAAATTACAGTTACGAGGTAGCAACGAAAATAATTTTATGGTTGGGGTTCACCACAACATGAGGAACTGTATTAAAGGGTCGCAGCATAAGAAGGTTGAGAACCACTGTTCTAGAGGCTCTATGGAAGAATTTGCTTCCTTTCCATTCCCAGCTTTGAGAGGCCACCTACATTACCCCAAGTTCTCCACCTTCAAAGCCAGGAATGGCAAATTGATTCTCTTTTCATGCTTGAATTTCTCTTATCTCTTACCATCTTGGTCAGATGCAGGTGGGAAAAGGGGAAAGTTTCTCTGCTTTATAAGGATTCGGTATGATTAGATTGGGCCCACTTGGATAATTCAGGATACTCTCCCATTTTCAGATCTTTAACCTTAATCACACCTGCAAAGTCCTTTTTGCCATGTAGAGATGGATATCTGTGGGAAGCCATTATTCTGCCTACCACAGAACCCAAACATCTTTATAGAATATTATTTCACTGATTTAAAGTGCTTATGGGTAAAAGATTATAGGTGTGATTTGACTTAATGCTGAGAAAATATATCACCTCTAGTTCTCTCTTTTCTTCTTAGCTTCAAACTCTTAACTGCAATTACTTGTTGAACATATTTTCTTAGATATTTTGTAAGCACCTTGTTAGCTTTTGCTATATAACAAACCACCCCACAAATATTTGTCATTGCCCACATACCTGTGGGTCAGCTGATGTAAGCTAGGTTTGGATGGGTGTCTCTGATGACCTTGGCTGGGCAAGCTGTGCATCGGTGAGTAGGCAGGTCAGGTGAGAATTGTCTAACCTAGCCTGGGGCTCTCTGGGGGCAGCTGTGTTTCACGTCTCATCTTCCCACCTTTGGGTTAGCCCAGGCATGTTCTTATGAAAATGGCAGAAATGCAAACATGTAAGTGGAAACACATGAAGCCTCGTGTAACCTGAGCTTAAAGCAGAGAAACTGTCACTTTTGCTTATTCTATTGGCCAAACTGGTCACATGGTCAAATCAAGGTGCTGGGAAAGATACTTTTATCTTTTTAAATGGGAGGAATTTAGCAAAGTAACTTGAATGGATAAAGGGTTGTAAAAAATAATATAAACAGAGCCTTTAAAGTAGAGTTGGAGCTGCCATCCCAGAGGAACTTGCCTTGCAGGTCTACTCCTCAGACCTTTGGAATGTTAAAACTGGGCAAAATAACCTTTAGACTGGGCCTAAAGCAATCTTATATCCCAAACAATGTTTGCAAAGATAACAAGAAAGCAGATAATATAGCTATGACTATTTGAGTTTCTGCCTGGGTCAGTTTTTCCAGAATCACTATTACTTTGTATCTCAAATAAATGCTTGCTGCCTCTCTCTCACCCTGGCCTTTTATTTTTTGGTTAACAGGGGATAAGGAATTGGGGCCAGTGATGTAATTAATCCCACACTGACCTCTGTACTACCTTCCTGTTTTACTTTATTTCTGGTCTTAGTTAATGATACTACTCTATGCCTAGTCATCTAAGCCAGAAACCTTAGAAGTATTTTAGAATCTTCTCTTTCCCCTTTTCTATATTCAGTATCTACCTTGTAAACATCTTTCTAAAGTTTAGAATCTAAACTCTCACCTATTACCCTCACTGTTCTGGTTCAGACAGTCATATCTCCTTGAGAAGAAAGGGAGGAATAGTCTCTTCCTTGTCCCTAATCTAGTTTCCTTTGAATCCATTCTTTGTATTGCAGCTGGAATACTCTGCTTGCAATACATTGCCTCTAGGAGAGGATGCCCTCTGGGATGCGAGTCACCAACTTTATCTTATGCTGTTTGCTGTCTTTTGCTTTACTCTTCAGTTCAAGTCAACAAAATAAGGCCAGTGGGTCAAAAAATCTAGTCCACAATCTATGTTTGTATGGTTCGTGAACTAAGACTGGTTTTACATTTTTAAATGACTGGAAAAAATAAAAAGAACAGTCATTTAAAAATGTAACATTTTTGTGACACATGAAAATTATGAAATCTAAACCAGTGTTCATAAATAAAGTTTTATTGGAATACAACTATGTTCATTCATTTTTGTATATGGCTGCTTTCATATTATAATGGCAAAGTTGAGTCATTGAAACAAGAGACCATAAAATACTTGCTATCTCATCCTTTACAGAAAAAGGTTGCCAGCCCTTGTTCTAGTCAAGTCGAACTTTCTGTACCATTCTATTTCACGCCTCAACGTGTTTATTATGTTGTTTCTTTGGCTTTTTTTTTTAAGTAATAGCTTTATTGAGATATAACTAACATATTATGACGTTTATCCATTTAAAGTGTACATTTCAGTGGTCTGTAGTATATTAATAGAGTTGTGCATCACTGTAATTTTAGAACATTTTCATTACCTTCCCAAAAATCCCCATGTTCATTAGAAGTCACTCCTCATTTCCCTAATCCTCTCCCCTAAGCCTTAGACCAGGGGTCCTCAAACTACGGCCCGCGGGCCACATGCAAATACAAATACTGTATTTGTTCCCGTTTTGTTTTTTTACTTCAAAATAAGATATGTGCAGTGTGCATAGGAATTTGTTCATAGTTTTTTTTTAAACTATAGTCCGGCCCTCCAACGGTCTGAGGGACAGTGAACTGGCCCCCTGTTTAAAAAGTTTGAGGACCCCTGCCTTAGACAATCACTAAATCTACTTTCATCTCTATAGATTTGCCCATTCTTGATATTTCATGTAAATGGAATCATACAATATGTGGGGTTTTGTGACTGTCATCTTCATTTACATAATGTTTTTAAGGTTTATACATATTGCAGCAGATACCAGTATTTTATTCCTTTTCATTGCTGATTAATATACCATTGTATGTATGTAACATGTATCCATTTGTGATATGATGGACATCCATTTTGTTTTTACTTTTTGACGATAATGAGTAATGCTGTTAAGAATATTTGTGTACAAGTTTTTGTGTGGTCATGAATTTTCATTTCTCTTAGGTATATACCTGGGAAAATTCTTTATTCTTCAAGAATTGACTTTGGGATCATCTCTTGCAGATCCCTTTCCTAGCCTCCTAAGCTGGATTAAATGTTCATTCCCTATTGCTCAAATCACACTTGTAGTACTTTACACATGATATTGACGTTATCTGTTTGCATGTTTATTCCTCTGTTCCTCTAAGTTTCTGGAGAGCGGCATCAGTGCCTTATTTGACTTTGTATCAACTGCAAACAGTACAATAATTCACTTAATATTTGTTGAACTAGAAAAACTGTAAAGCAGTCTATGCTTTCGAATTAAAGTAAACTTTATATTTTGTTATTTTTTTTTGTCTTATATACATGGGCTTTTTTTTCTTTTTTCAGTCTCTTGGAATACATATTGAAATAACTGATCATGAATTTATCTTTTTTTCAAGGCCTGAAAAGAAAACAAAAAAAGGTACCAAAGAAAAAGCATCAAATGAAAAACAAGATGACATAGAAAAAATAAAGTCAATCCCCTTTATGGAAGATGAACCTGAGGATGATGTTTACTTAAAACGCTTATATCCAAGACAGATATATGAGGTGGAGAAAGCTATTCATTTACTTAAGAAATTTCAAATTCTGGACTTTACACATCCAAAGCAAGGTGTTTATCTTGATTTGACACTGGACATGGCACAGGGGAAGAAGGTATATAGACTCAAAATAAATTTATTTGTGAACAGTAGTATGAATTGACATTTCTTAATGTTTTAATTCTTGCCTTTTATAATAATTTTTAGAAAAACTTATGCTCTTTCTATGCTTTAGCATGAAAAATATGTATGTTTGTTTTTTAGCTTCCAAATATAAAATAGAATGTTAAGCAAACTCATAGTTGATGAACATATATCTCCTATCAGCAGAAAATCATTGGTATAAATTTCAACAAAAATAATATTAAAATTAATTGAGGTATTACTATAACTTTGAAAAATTACTTAAGCTGCCTGTGTGTCCTGTTCCTTCTCTGTAAATGAGAGTTTTGGATTAGATCATTAGCCTTCAGATATTTCCTTAGTGTCCTGGATTGAGACTAAGTTTGAATGAGTGGGGTGCCAAACCCCTCCCTTGCTTCAATCAGAATGTCTCTGCTTTATCTGTTTGTATATTGCAGTTCCGTGGAAGACTTTAGTTTATAAAACTCTAAAAGTAGGAAACACATGTGATTAGAATTGATGTCCATTAAGCTTCTCACTGAAGGAATCTAATTTTCTTGGAACTGATATTTAAATTTTTATTCTCAGGGTCTTTTTTGGTCAAACTAGAAGGTATAAGTTTTTAAATACAATTGAACAACCTCAATAATAACAATAATGATTGAACATGTAAGAGGAGGCAGGATAGAGTCAGATTACAGTACCGGCCAGCATCCTGTTGTCACCACTTATTAACTCTTTGAACTTGAGTTTCTGGTTTTACCTCTTCAAATCTCAGTTTTTTTTTATCTCTTTAAAAAGGGAGATAAAAAGCTTAGTTCATATGGTTATAGCAAAGATTGAATGTGGTCATGGATGTAAGGACTTGGTAGGTGTTTAATAATAACAATCAATATTTACTGGAAAGTTTTTATGTACCAACCACCACACTAATGCTTTGCATGCATTTTCTCATTTAATCCTTTAATAATTTCAGAAGAAGAGGCCAAGACACAAAAAGTAAAGTAACTTGCTCAAGGTCAGAGAGTAGGGGTAGGGTTAGGATTAGAAACAGTTTATACTAGCCATGTTATAATTTTATTTTATATCACAGTGTTACTGTTAGTTTTATTTAAAAAATGTTGTGTCCAAGATGATCACTTTCTCAGTCAACTGTTAATATATTTCATAAATGTGTCTAGTTCACAAGCCACTTGTGACTAGACACATTGAAAGGATACTGTTGTCTTCCTAAGACATTTTCTTAATCTTAATAGACTGCTTGTAACAAGCCGGTATTCCCCAGGGAATGCTATTATGATTGCTTGCCATTGAAAAATATACTGAAACCAGTTGTGACATGTTAATGGCAAAGGAATGCCAGTGAATAAAATTGAGTTGCATGTCTGATAGAATGTGAACTTAAGAGTTTGTGCTTTCTTGTCTGAAAAATCCTCAGAAGGTTATCTCTACTCAAAATAAACTAAAAATACAATCTTTCAGTTTTAATTAGGGAACACCCCTTTTCTCTTTTTTCCAGACCTTAAGGCTGCATCAAAACTGTGGACTTAGAACTTGTTTCCATGTGAAGTTTCCCTAAGAGATCTGAGCCACAAGCCTAGACAGGCAGGACTTTGACCAAATGACTGAACAAATTAGTTCTGAGGCCCTGGGGAATCTCCACCCATATTAGGGGCCTCAAGTGCATGCTACTGTGTGTTTTAGATGTTCCAATGTTCTTCCCACAGGTGTCTGAAAGTGGTAGGTGGTTTAGGTTGTTTCCAAATAGACCCACTCAGAAGAGCCTTTCAGGCTTGGCATTCTGTCTTGGATTTAGAGTTAATATCACCAGATTGTTTAGAGCCAATGATGGAGATTAGTGTGTCCTACTGAGCAGATCAGCTGGATATTGTCTGTTGTTCAGTATGCACAGTTGCATTCATTTCCTCCTTGATGGTGTCACAAGATTACATATCCTTTTAAATTTAATTCAAGGTGGCAAAAATTATTGGCATCCATGTAGAAAGAAAGTATTGTACTAGGTGCTGGGGAAGATACAGATATGCAAATACATCTTTCTATATATGAGACACTGATGAATGATGTAGAGATAGAAGCCAAGTACCATGGGAGTATGGAGCTGGGTAGAGAGATTTAGATTTTCATGATGGTTTCTTACAAAAGAAATAAAATCTCTGATGCCTTAAATTATAATCATTGAATAGTTCTGGATTAATGAGAGGATATGTGGTAGAATTGAAACATTAAAAAACAAAACATGTTAGTTCTGTTTTTTACGGATGTGAGAGGCACAGAAAAGATGAATGAATTTTTCACAATCATTTTTTCCATTGTGTATTTAGAAAAAAGTGGAGCCATTTGCCAGTGTTGTTAGTTTGCCATACCCATTCGTTTCAGAAATCAATAAAGTTGCTGTATTTACAGGGGTGAGTAACCTTTACCAACTTTTTATATCCTTTAACTTGTTTAATAAAACATTAGTAAGTGTTTAGAGTAACTGAATGAGTAGAATTAGAGAAAATTCTAGCATTCACCAAGTCTTATTTTCCCCATATGAACCTCAAAGCAGTAAGATGACTCATCTGAGGTTATGTCATTAAAGTAAGAAAAAGCTAAACTAGAACATTAACTTCATCATTAGTTATTATTCTACGATATTCTGTTTCTCACAAAAACGCTGACGGGAAGTACAGAATTTATTCTAGCTCCTGCTTCTGACTCAAACTCCTCATACAACAATAAAATTATTTTGGGCCCATGTAGTGCTTTGAAGACACAGAAACCACACTTTAAAAAATATCTAGTGTAGAAAGTGAAGAAAGTCAAGGCTATAACAAGTACAATAATAAGTTTTTGGTCAAACTTTTTGTATTTATAAACATTTGTTTATAATGTGTTTATGATTTTATTTTGTAAGGTGTTTTGATTCTTCTCCATCTGTCTCACTTTCAAGGAAGAAATTCTTTACTTTTTTTTTTTCCAGAAAAGTGGAGCATATAGCTGTTGGAATGCCACAAAACTTGAGTAACTAAGGGAGTGTGATATATTTCACAGTAAAACCAAATGGTATAAATGGAACATAGAGAAAGAAAATAACTAATGCTGTGTATTTTTTCTTTGAATTTTCAGACAACAGGCTAAATTTTGGTTCTATCATTTATTAAAAATATTTTTCTCTTCCTGATCAGTGTGGCTCGGTTGGGCATCATCTCATGCACTGAAGTGTTGCTGCTTAGATTCCTGGTCAGGGCACAAGCCCAGGTTGTGGGCTTAATCCCTGGTAGGGGGTGTGCAGGAGGCAGTCAATCGATGTTTCGCTCTCACATCCATGTTTTTCTCTCCCTCTCCCTTCCTCTCTCTAACAATCAGTTTAAAAAATCTTAAAAAAATTTTTTTCTCTCTATATTGGTTTGATAAAATATCTCCATTTAAGGAGCAAAACTAAATATATTTTAATTTTTTACTTTTGGAAGATGATATGTTTATGGTATTAGAGACTTAGGCTGAACTACTTGGTAGGTTCCTCATGCATTTTTAAAAAAATATTTTTATTGATTTCAGAGAGAAAGGCAGAGGGAGAGAGAGAGAGATACATTAATGATGAGAGAGAATCATTGATTAGCTGCCTCCTGCATGCTCCCTACTAAGGATTGAGCGTGCAACCCGGGCATATGCCCTTGACTGGAATTGAACCTGGGACCCTTCAGTCCACAGGCCAATGCTCTATCCACTGAGCCAAACCGGCTAGGGCCTCATGCATTTTTTAGTTATTTGCTCATGTTACAAGAAATACCTCAATTACCTAAAAACTAAACTTGTTCTGGATGTAATATTTCTGATGCATCTCATTGAAAATTGATGCATTTCCAATTAAAAGTAAAAGCCACAGTTTCTATCTTGAGCTGTAATATTATTTCTGACAAAATACTTGAAAGCAGACTGAATTGATGTTTAAACTATTGTATTTTGGTAGAATGCATCAGAGATTAAAATAGCAGAAGAACATGGAGCTGCGTTTGCAGGAGGAACTAATCTGATTCAGAAGGTACAGTGTTATTTTCACGTTCATTAGTTATATGAATTGTTTAGTTATCTTTGCCATCCATTTATTTATTACATGTTTTAGAATTAGTATTGGAAAGTCTTGGAGTAGAAATTTCACATACCGTTCTTTGACATTTCAAATTGCCTCTGCTTAATATTTCTAGTGATGAGAGCCCTGGTTCTGAATCTACACTACCTTTGTTTCAATTCTGGGTCTGTCCCTTATAAGTACACAGACAGACTCATCCTCCCTAAGTCTTCAGTTTCTGAATCTGGAATGTGTAATCAATATTAGTACTTGCCTCTTAGGATTATTGTGAAGACTGGATCAATTAAACCATGTTAAATATTGAACTGAATGCTTGGCATGTGATAAGTGTTTGCTTAATGTAAGTTATTGTTAAGAGGAATACAGAATGTTATTTAGAGGATAAAGAATTTATAAAAATAAAGAATAGTAACAGGAAGATAAAATTTCAGAGTCACAGCTTAATTTTGCCAAGGTTCAAGTCTTTAGAGTTCACTATAATCCCAAACCACAGCTTTGAATGACATATAGTGGGAAGATTTAAGCAAAAGGAATCATTGGTAAAATATTTCTTGCCTAGGCAGTACTATTCTAAAAAGTTGCTTCATTTTATAATCAAGTAAATTTTTAAATGAAAGAATTAAACCCTTTAAATACATATATTTTAAGTGGATGTGACTATTTTTAAGAGAAAAGATCAGAAAATGTTTTGCTTCTAATGGTTCTCATAATTGGTAAATGTGTTCATATGATCCTTGTTTAAAGACAAACCATTGTTTAATGTGCGTTTTCTAAATTATAAGGGGAATTACTACATTATACTTTCTTTTCAGAAGGTTATTTTTTATCTTGATTTTTTAGATTTTGGATGATGAAATTGAGCCAGACTTTTATGTAGCTGTTCCAGAAATTATGCCTGAGCTTAATCCATTAAAGAAGAAACTGAAAAAAAGATTTCCAAAGCTTAATCGAAGTAAGGGAGAATTCCTTTTTATTATTTCAATATGCTATCAACAACTTTCTTCTAATATGTATGTTTTGTTAGAAAACAAAATTGCTTATATATATATGTAGAATAAATATGTCCTGCTATTTGAATTTTGTGTTATGTGAGAACATGCAGATTTGATTTTTTCCCTCTTGACATTGATGTTGGTAATCTATTGTAATTTGCAAAGCTAATTACTATATAATACTTTAAATTTAGGCTATATTTTAACTTGAAATTAAGTGAAAGTATTACCCATTAGACATGTTATAATCATACTGTTTTTAACCTCTTTATCAATATAATAGGTATGCTAATTTATGTCAGCATTCAACTCATACATGAATGCTTACAGTATGCATGGCACTGCAGATTTTTTCCTTAAGGAACTTTTCCCTTATGGATATTTCTCTCTTATGAAATACTAGAGGGGGTGGGGGTGTCCCTCAGCCCAGCCTGCACCCTCTCCAATCTGGCACCCTGGAGGGAAACGGGCATTCGGACATCCCTCTCACAATTCAGGACTGCTGGCTCCAAACCATTTGCCTGCCTGCCTGCCTGATTGCCCCTAACCGCTTCTGCTTGCCAGCCTGATCACCCCCTAACCACTACCTTGCCAGCCTGATCGACACCTAACTGCTCCCCTGCTGGTCCAATCGTTCCCACC